ACATTGCACAGAGCCTTGTCTTAATATGTCCTCAGGCTGCCTCAGGAATGGCAATTGCTGTTCTGCTTTGACGGTGACAGCTGTAAGAGCAGCCCAACTGGATCACACAATTCTCTTCTAATGTAGCATTCACTTGCTAAACGTGACCAGCCAGTTATCTCTCAGTCTTTTAAAGCATACAAAAAAACAAGTAGTCCTTGACTTACAACAGTTCATTTAGGGACCGAAGTTAGAACGGCACTGAAAAAAAGTGACTCGCCATCAGTTTTCGTACTTACGACCGTTGTAGCATCTATATGATCATGTGATCAAAATTCAGACACTGGGCAATTGGCTCATATTTATGATGGTTGCAAGGTCCTGGGTGTGTGTGTGTCATGTGATCCCCTTTTGCGGCCTTCTGACAGGCAAAGTCAATGGGGAAGCCAGATTCACTTGCTGTTTTTTTTTTGTTTGTTTGTTTGTTTGTTTGTTTTTAATTTGATTTATATGCCGCCCTTCTCCGGAGACTCAGGGTGGCTTACAATGTGCTCAGCAATAGCCTTCATCCTTTTGTATATTTATACAAAGTCAGCTTATTGCCCCCACAACTGGGTCCTTAATAACAACTGCAGTGATTCACTTAACAACAGTGTCAAGAAAGGTTGTAAAATGGGGCAAACTCACTTAACAAATGTTTCACTTAGCAACAGAAATGTTGGGCTCAATTGTGGTTGTAAATTGAGGATTACTTGTGTGTTTGAAAGCTTCTGCTTATTGTAGTATTATTATGGTTCATCACACAGTCAGCCAGATGTTTAGACCAGACTTGGCAGTTTTATCCACCTATAAAAGTTCTTCCCCCAAGATCTATTATTATTATTATAGGTGGTTCTTTCTTGACAGTAATTGGGACCAGAATTTCCATCACTAAGCAATACGGTCCTAAAGCATTACATCATGTGACCATGTCATGTAGAATGGCAATTCTGGCAATCCCGGTTGCCATTGTTAAGAAACTTATGTGATTGCATCTTCCGACTTCCTGCTGGCTTCCCCATTGACTTTGGTAGTGTGAAATTAGCAGGGAACATTGGAAATTGTGATCACATGACTGCAGCTCACTGCAATTTATTGCAAGCCAGGCACTGAGCACCCAGATTGCAGTTCTGTGACTGTAGGGATCAGTGGTGGGTTTCAAAAATGTTTACTACTGGTTCTGTGGGTGTGGCTTGGTGGGCGTGGCTTGGTGGGCATGGCTTGGTGGGTGTGGCAGGGGAAGGATACTGTAAAATCTCCATTCCCACCCCACTCCAGGGGAAGGTTACTGCAAAATCCACATTTCCTCCCAATCAGCTGGGACTTGGGAGGCAGAGAATAGATGGGGGTGGGGCCAGTCAGAATTTCTACTACTGGTTCTCCGAACTACTCAAAATTTCCACAGCCGGTTCTCCAGAACTGGTCAGAACCTGCTGAAACCCACCTCTGGTAGGGATGCTGCAACCACCAAAACTCAGAGAATCAGTCAGAAGTACCACTTGTTCAGCACAGTTGTAACTTTGAACAGTCACTGAACAAACTGTTGTAACCTGAGTACTACCTCTATTATTATGGTTGGTCAGACAGTCAGTCAGATATTGAAACTGGATTTGGAATTTTTTTCAACTTACTGAGTCCTTCCCAAGGACCTACGATAGGCAAATGTTGATGTTTCATGCTGTTAAAGGTATCATCGCAGGATGTGCCTGTCCTTATTTTTGCACATGCTTTTGCACTGTGGGTACCTAGGTCTTACAGCAAAGCTATCCTCTTCCTCTTTTCCCCAAGCAATTTTGTGAGGTGAGTTGGGCTGAAAGTGATTGGCACAAAATCACCCTTTAACAGTGGAGAAAAAATGATACCTGATTTACAGCAACATGACCACTTATCCATGGAACAGTACTGGACTTGTGACATTTTTTCTAGTAGAAGATATTGGCCACAGCCCCAAGACCCTTGCCTAGCTTTGTATACCAGTTGTAAAACTTTTTGGACTAGGAGGCCCTGTAGATCCTAATCCATGTCCTCATCACTTTACAGAAAGACCAACCTTCTATATAAGGTTGGCTTTGAAGTTAAAAGTGTTCCAAAATGTGGGGGTCTACTTGCTAACCAGCGATAGAAGATTTGGAAGTGTTACCCCAAGTAGTGAACACTAGCCTAGCAATAACAACAGCACTTAGACTTATATGCAACTTCACAGTGCTCTAAGCGGTTTACAGAGTCAGCCTATTGCCCCCAACAATCTGGGTCCTCATTTTACCCACCTCGGAAGGATGGAAGACTGAGTCAACCTTGAGCCTGGTGAGATTCAAACTGCCAAATTGCAGGCAGCCGGCAGGCAGCAGAAGTCGCCTGTAGTACTGCACTCTAACCACTGTGCTTCCGGATTCAATTCAAAGTGCTGCTTATCATCTGTAAAGCCCTCGATTTGGGCTTGGTTTCCAGATATTTGTAGGATCATTTCTCCCGGTCCACATTTTTCCATCTCTTCAACAAGGGGATGCTGAGAATTCCCACCCTGATACTGATACTTCTTTAGGACTGTCTTCACCCTTTGCAACATCTTGTCCTTGGAAGTATATGATACTCTTAACTGCCTGATCTTTACAAAGGCACTTACGGTCTTATAGTATTTCAGAGGGTGTACCAGTATTAATGATGACGGGACTGTATTAAGTTTGGTTTTTAATTTGGGGTACTATTCATATTTATTTTCACGAGCATTTCTATATTGTTTTCTGTAATATTGTAAGATGCCTTGAGGCCTATGAAATAGATGGTGTACATATTTTTATATAAATAAATGAAGGAGGGGAACCATCTGCAGCCCCTGATTGAGTTGCCCCAACTTGATCTATGGCAATGTTTTCAACATTGTCGCTACAGAAGATAGAATTGAAACCCAAGACATCTCTTCCTGTCAAGTCCAGTTGACAAGACACTGGACCCTTGCCTCTATCCACTATCTAGAGAGCTATATAGAGAGCAGTGGGCAACCCATGGCATGCCACGGTCATGAGCCCTCTGGAGCTCATCCTCCCAAAATCCTGGCTACCAAAACCCAGCAATACAATTTATTATCCAAATTCAGAAACATTTAGAAAATGTTTTGGATCAATTTCACAATTTGAAGAAGTAATGATGCTGTGTGCGTGTGTCTGTCTGTCTGTCTGTATTGGTACTTATCATGCCTGGGGACGGGTGTCATAGTATAGTAGAACATAAAGGGGCTAAGGACACTTATTTTTAGTAGCACCTTCAGGAAGGGGGAATTAAAAAAGAAATACAAGGCTACCCCAAATCTGAATTTTCCTGCTAGACTTTGGAAACATGAATTTAAAGGGCTTCGTCAGCAAGCAAAACTGGAGACAAGGGGAATCACAGACTGTTTTAAAGCTAAGAATAGAATAGAATAGAATAGAATAGAATAGAATAGAATAGAATAGAATAGAATAGAATAGAATAGAATAGAATAGAATAGAATAGAATAGAATTCTTTATTGGCCAAGTGTGATTAGACACGCAAGGAATTTGTCTTGGTGCATATGCTCTCAGTGTACATAAAAGAAAAGATACGTTCTTCAAGAACCATAAGGTACAACACTTAATGATAGTCATAGAGTACAAATAAGCAATCGGGAAACAATATCAATATAAATTGTAAGGATACAAGCAACAAAGTTACAGTCATAAGTAGAAGGAGATGGGCGGTGGGAACAATGAGAAGATTAATAGTAGTGTAGACTTAGTAAATAGTTTGACAGTGTTGAGGGAATTATTTGTTTAGCACAGTGATGGAGTTCGGGAAAAAACTTCTTGTGTCTAGTTGTTCTGTGTGCAGTGCTCTATAGCATCGTTTTGAAGTAGGATTTGAAACAGTTTATGTCCAGGATGCGAGGGGTCTCTAAATATTTTCACAGCCCTCTTTTTGACTCATGCAGTATACAGGTCCTCAATGGAAGGCAGGTTGGTAGCCATGTTTTTTTCTGCAGTTCTAATTATCCTCTGCAGGATAATTTCCACCCCGCAAGGGATTAAATGAAGATGATGATGAATGTATTTCATACAATGAAATAGACGCATTTCATGACAGTGTCATTACATTCAAACTCAAAAAAAAAAAGTTTTTGCCTGGACTTTGTCCACTTTTGATACTGACTCCATAGATATTTAATCTTGCTTCTTGCTCTCTTCTTTGAGTCTGCCCTCAAACACCTCCTACCTCTTTAGCTCAGGAGTAGATATCTGTTGTCAGCCCATGTTCCTCCCCAGCCTTCTCACTGTCCAACTCCGCTGCCAGCTCCGCAGGCTTCTGGTGGACCACAACAATATCTTCTGCTCTGGTTAGAAAGTCTCTCTGACTTGACTGGAATCTGAGGTTATACAAATCTTGAAAAGGAACCAGCCAAGGATTTCCACATGAATCAGTTCTGTTGAAAATCAGATCAAAAGTGTCTGTTCCATCAACAGCTCTCCAAAGCTTGAGGCCAAGGATTCTCCTATTAAACAATATCCCATTGATTTAGAAAGACTGGGTTTAAAGACCTGGAATCTTTTTTCAAGCAAACCATTTGTTCAACGTAACAGATTGGTGGGCCATGATACCCTTTTCCCAAAAGACGGTTGCTTGAAAGGCTGCCTAGTTTGGGCAATCAAAAGTTTTAGATTCATGCTTTGAAAGCCAGTTCTCTGGAGGTCAGTTGTTTTTCTCCTACCCTTGAACAATATCTTCTGCCCTGCTTGAGAAGACAACAAGTAAGCCTTTTATAAAGGGGCAACATTGTACTAATTGAACAAGATACCTTTAGAACATGTGTTTCTAGAGGCATCCAAGCAACTAACAGTCTGAGGGTGACATACTTGAAGAAAAAAGTTTTTTTTTAAAAAAAAAAAAGTAAATGTTTGCATCCCTCATTAGTTCAGGAACACACGGTTGTACCAAAGACGAAATTAACTTTTTGATGTGCCTTTTTCCACAGCTGGATTATGATCGAGCACAGATAGTAGTAAGTCCACCCCTTTCTGGATCAGACACATATCCACGAGGCCCAACAAAGCTACCTCAGAGTCAGTGCAAAGCCACCTATTCAGGTAGTGGCTATCAGTACTCCGCTATCTATCACAAATTCTCTCACTTTAACCACCAGCCTTCTCTGCAGCCGAGCTCACATTATACTTCCACAGCTTCTTACCCAAGCTCCCCCAGCATCACTTCAAGTTCTTATCCTCCGCCGAGCTGGGGTTCCTCCTCAGATCAACAACCCTCAAGGGTATCGCACGAGCAGTTCCGAGCAGCTTTGCAACTGGTGGTGAGCCCGGGGGATCCTCGAGAATACTTGGACAACTTTATCAAGATCGGGGAAGGCTCCACCGGTATTGTTTGCATCGCCACAGAGAAGCACACGGGAAGGCAAGTGGCTGTGAAAAAGATGGATCTCAGGAAACAGCAAAGAAGGGAACTGCTCTTCAATGAGGTAAGTCCTTTTGGAACCATAAGAAGATTCTTTCGCGCCCTTAATTTCTTTCCATACGGTACAGGTAGTTCTCGACTTAACAACAGTTCATTTAGTGACCGTTCAAAGGTGCAATGGTGCTGAAAAGTGTGACTTACGACTATTTTTCACAGTTATGACCTATGCAGCATCCCCATGATCATCTGATCGAAATTCAGATGCTGGGCAACTGGTGCATATTTATGACCATTGCTCTATCCCAAGGTCATTTGATCACCTTTTGCAACCTTTGGACAAGCAAAGCCAGTAGGGAAACCAGATTCACTTAGCAACCGGGTTACTAACTTATGAAGTGCAGTGATTCACTTAACCACTGTGGCAAGAAAGGTCATAAAATGGGATAAAACTCACTTAACAAATGTCTCACTTAACAACATAAATATTGGGCTCAATTGTGGTAATACGTCGAGGACTAGTGTATATCTTAATCTGAAGGCTCTCAGAGCAGAGATGTTAATGGTATATAATGGTTAGACTAGGGGTCGGCAACCTTAAACACTCAAAGAGCCACAAAGGTCCTAACCAGAAGCCCCCATTCAATTCTGGAGCCGACCAGAAATCCGGTCCCCCACCATAGAGTCTCCTCCTAGCACGGCATCCTTTTTCCTCTACCTGTCTTAACCGAAAGCCCTATCAATTGTGGAGCCGACCAGCAACAGGGAGCCGCAGCAGAGGGATGAAAGAGCCACATGCGGCTCCAGAGCCACAGGTTGCTGACCCATGGATTAGACTGTTAACTATAAACCAGGAAAACCTGATTTTCACTCGACTTCAGAATTTCCTAGTCAGTCATTATCTCTCAACCTCACTTTCCTTGCAAAGTTTTAGGGAACAGACCAGCTCTTATATAGTCAGAGTGAGGCAGACCTCTGTGCCTGTACCCCACCAATGACAATACAGCATCTTGTAACATCTTGTAAATCACCCTACCATCACTGATGGCATATAAAAGCTGTCCTCCTTATTGTTAGCACAATGATTCTATGACTCAAGAAGATGTTATAAGTTGCTGCTGGAGGAATGAACTGTTGGTGGCAGGTGGGGGAATGGGGAAAAAACCTTTTTAAAACCAGCATCCTTAAACCAGTCAACACTTTCAGGTTCAATTCACAATATTGTCCCACAATAGTATTAAACAAAAATTCAGCAGACAATCCAGTCAGTTTCCTACATGATGAAGAATGGGGTAAGCAGCTTGCCTTTGATTCTGGTGACAAAATGTTTGTGGTTTGGGTAAACCCTGACAGTGAGAATAAAATGGGAATGGGAAGAATCGTGTTAATTGCTTCGAAAAGCAGTAGTAGAATAAAAATCGAGATGTTAAAATATCCCAGAAGATGGACATATTCTCATTTTATATTAAAAGCATAAATAAAGTTATATATTTATCTTGCTTTGAATTGACCCCTACATTCAGAGCAGACACTATCCATTTGTTCTAATACCTAGAACAAATTGTAACCTTAATAAACATACCGGTAGTTTAAAGTGAAAAGCCACACACTTGCCGTCAAAGGGAAAGTTTCTGTGTGGCAGAATGGAATCTTAATTAATAGAGAAGGATTAATCAGATTCATGACATTGATTTAAATGAGTGAAATAAGTCAAATAAGTTGAAGTATCAGTTTCAGCTCAGATATGGATAGCATTTAATTTCTCACCATAGTTTTAGCAGGCATCTGGATGTTTAGAAATTTTAGAACAGTAATTACTCTACTTTGTTTTTGTTTTTCCTGTTGGCTGAGTAGAGAAGAATAAACATGAACACTAATTAATACTGTCTGGGATATTTAATCTTCACACCGTATCAGAGCAAATATTTTATTATGGGGTTGAAAGTAAAGGATGATCACATATATAGAAGTCAATATGTCTTGGTTTGGCCAACTGGAACATGCTGCTGTCTTCCTGTGATTTGTTATTTTACATATTTAGGTCCAGCTTTTTAAAACGGCAAAGAATCAGACATAGATACAACTACAAATTTCATAAAGAGTTCACAGAAAGCAGTTGTCAGTACCATTCATACCAATCCAATAGCACAACAACAGCATCAGTTCTGGAGTCTTCTGAATGGACAGAGAGAGAGAGGAAGTGTTATGTGGCCACTTCAAACACAACCTGTGAACAATATAACACCGTTAATAGGGTCATAAGGTTGTGACTTTTTTTTCCCTAATGCATAAGGGCAAGTCTGCATTTGACAAATTTCTCAGGCAGCAATTTTCAACAAACAAATGCAGTACCTGCAGTAGCAGCAAAAAAACAACATGTTTTTAAAAATTGCTAGCGCTGGAAGAATTGGAAAAGGAACCGTGCTAGTCTATCCAGAAAGCAACATGCCATTTACGTGACTTGGAACATTCAAAAGAGTACTGCTTTGAAAAGGCTTTGTTTGTTTGTTTCTTTCTTTCTTTCTTTCTTTTTTTTTCTGAGGTAGGGACAACATTCTTGGAACACTTAAAATGGCTATTTGGAGCTTGCAATGTACCAATGAACAGGGTTTTGCTAGTTCTAACTATGAAATATATCCTCCTTCTTGAAGTGTAGCCACATTCTCTACTCATTTCTGGCTGAAAGTAATAACATTTTACATGATGTTCAAACTGGACAAATGTAAATTACAACCAACCGTAATTTACATTAATTTTTTTAAGAAATAGAATCAAATTTGGGATACACATTTTAGTTGGCATCAACTGAATAATAATAATAATAATTATTATTATTATTATTATTATATACACAGTATACCCATACAATAAAATGCACTTAACACCCAAAGACCAGGTCCAACACACATAACAATCCACAAACACACACACCCCCACCACAAATTCCCCACCCCTAAACCACCCAAACATCCACACCACCACAGACCAAGTAATGCTGTCCAACAGCTCACAGATGGTGGCCCTTTAGTTCATTGTTGAGTGCAATTATAGCTCTGGGATAAAAGTAATGAACCCCCCCCCCAAAAAGAAAAGATCAGCCCAGCCTTGATGCTTCTAAGATGTAGATCTGTTGTGGATTGTAGCTGCCATTTTCAATTCTGTAAACTTGTGCCATTTTCCCCCTTGGAAACCTTCAGCCCTTTCTCTTGGATGGGGGGGGATTATATTTATCACTGATGAACTACTGTACTGAGCTCTCCAGAGTTTCCGACCTACCTGAAAGATGCCTAAGACAACTGGGCCTCAGTGGGACCCTTTGCAGGTGGAATAGTTTGCTAGGCCCAGAGCAGCATCCTTGCTGCCCAGAGCAGCATCCTTCCTCTGAACTTCTCTTCCAAGGCATACCTTGTCTGCAGAACTAAGAGAAGACTGCCGATGGCATCAGATTGTCATGGTTGTAGCGTGTTGCTCAGATAAGATCATCTTATTCAGCAGAAAACAGTGCTGTGCACTTCCAAAGACCAGTGTATGTCCCCCAAACCCTGCTTGTTCAAATGCAGGAAGGCTCAGGTGCAGCAAGCTTTTGCTGATCATTTGGTCAACAGATGTCAAGATCCTATTATCATCCATAGCTGTTGACAAGGCTGTTTTCCTTTTTCCTGCATGAGTGATCGTGCCTGTCCTAAATTACAGTTTTACACACCTGGTACATGTAGGAGAAACAATCCCCCCCGCATCATTTTCTTTTTTTACCAGATTGATCTTCATTTCTATATATGAAGGAATAATTCTTCTACCTAGGCTCATTTCCAACCCCAGAATTTCATTTCTAGCCAGTCTGAACTCAACATTCTACTGAGAATTAGCATCCAAATATGAATGACAGGATTGAACATTCTCTCTCCTTTGGCGTATATTAGCAGGGAAGCCCCTGGACTGTGTTGCCCTGTCAGCCTCTGCTCTTCTTCCAGGTTGTCATCATGAGAGACTATCACCATGAAAACGTGGTCGACATGTACAACAGTTACCTGGTGGGAGACGAGCTCTGGGTGGTGATGGAGTTTCTGGAAGGCGGTGCTTTGACAGATATAGTGACTCACACACGGTAAGCTTGTTCTGTGGCCAAGTCCTGCCTTCTGGCCATTTGATCTTTTGCAGAAAAACACCACCAAGGGAGCATTGCCAGTGCACTGTCTGTAAGATGAGGGAGCTGAAGCAGATGAGGTCTCGGTCTCTCTCTCTCTCTCTCTCTGTGCTGCAAAAATGAAACTTCCCCCAGGCAGAGCCTTGCATCAGCCTCTGAATCCCCACTGACCTCTCGTGCAAAGGGGATTCTCCGAAGGCAGGTCAGAAAGCGCCCCTTTCATTCATTCTTTCGTCCTTTGCAACACCAGGAACAAAGGAGGAGGAAGAGGTAGAAGGGCAGACTAGGGTATCTCCCATTTTGGTTCTTAACACTGATTCCTTCGACTGTTTCTATAGCAACCTTGGAAGTTACTAAACATATTTTGTGCCAGTATCGACAGATAAAACTGTAACATAATGAAGGAGAGATGCATGATGATTTGGCAGGTTTAATTTCCAAAGTGGATGCATTCTATCCTGAATCTTTCTCAAGTCCGACCTTTCCTCTGTTGAATTATAATAATATGCTGTTAAATGCATGAATGAAGTTCTTTTGGCATGCTTTAGAGCAGTTCTTCCCAAATTTGGGTGAATTACCAACAATTGGGTTAACGTGTTTTTTCTTTTCTTTCAATGATGCATGAACTCATTACCCATCACACTAAGGATATTTAAATTGACTTACAGATGGTCACATGTACTAAAATATATTTGAAAATCTCTCAGAGTTTTCCTATTAAAACAAAAATTGTTAAAATTACCAATGGTGATTCGTTGAAATGACATAAAGATCTTTCCATTATATTGTTTTAATTTTATTTAGTTATCAAATTTAGAAACAACTCATCTCCCTCAAAGAGGAAATCTGGGCGGCACACTAATAAAATGTTAAAAACATAAAAACTTGATTATAGAAATTTAAAACACAGGCAAGGATGGTTAAAATTCAACATAATGCAGGTAGTTCTTGAGTCACGAACATTCATTCAGTGACGGTTCAACGTGACAATAGTGCTGAAAGAAGAAACTTATAGCTGGTCCTGGAACTTCACTTAGATTTTCTACTAAGTGATTTTGAATAATGAAGGAAGAGCTTTGGGAAACACTGCTTTAAAGAATGAAGGCATCATTTAGTAGTTAAATACTTCCTGTATGTTTCATAATGTATCTATATCGCAGTAAATCAGTTAAAACAGTTTCCAGTAGTTAAATTGGTCTCTTTCTTTAACTAACAAAATACTATCTAACTTCCAATGACTTTATATTCTTGAAAAGCAGAGGACAAATCTGAAAGAGCAGCCAGTCTAAAAGAGCTTCGTAAGGATTAAAACATTGTTTCTGTTTACAATTTTGCTCTAGAAAGAAAAATTCAAGAGCTAAACCAGGAAAACAAACAAACAAACAAACAAACAAACAAACAAATAAATGTAAAGGGCATCTGTCTTAAATAAAAGACAGCCCTTTACATATGGCCACTGTAGTTGAGCTTGACACCTGTTTTATATTTTCCACTTTGAAATCAATTGTATTCTAAAATCATCCTAAAACTCTCAGCAGGCTAAGAAAGTTTAAGGCCAGATAGAAATCAGGACTGTGCAGATATACATCTGTGTATTCAGAAGTTTTCATATTGAGTTTTGAATAACAAATTGCTTTCTTCTAAAAATGGGGCCTTCTCTCATTTGCTGTATGACTTTTATTTGTGAAACAAGGGTTATTTTTAAGATTGGTTTCAGCCCACATATTAAAAATTCCCCTTACTTTCGCTAAGGGCTATTTTCTGAAATATTAGTCACCAGGCCAATATTTTGGCAGGCGTATAATTGCAAACAGATGTTTGCAGAAAAGTCTTCCTTAAATGCTGTCATTAGGATTCGATTCATTAGATGCACTCCTTGATTGCTGTTTGAACATTATAGGACCTTCCTAGAAGATCTGATTAAAGTATCTGCAACTTTTACATAAGCATCAAGTTGCTATGGGGTGAAATGTTAATCCTATTGGGTGAGCTATTTATGACCTGATAATTAGCCATTTCCACCTCAGTGCCATTGGGCATTTCTACCTGCTTATGCTCCAACTGGACATGGTCTACTCCCCATTCCATTTTTAGGGGTGCAATGACCTTGCGGCCTCAAGCTATCGTTGCTGCATCTGCCAGACCAGCTTTGTCTCCAAAGGTGACCTTCAGCCACTCATCTCAAAAACTTTGCATGTGCAGATGGGAGAAGGAAAAATACACAAGTTCTCAGGAGCCCATCTAGAGAATTTGTTACGGAAGAGATAGAGTGGATTTAGAAGGCACCAAGTTCAGTTTCTTTTATGATACATAGCATGGTAATGGACAAAACCTTTCCCAACATCGGGAAAATTTCTGTCAACCAAAGCTAATACTGCTCCACTAGACAAATCGGCTTTTTGAAATCAGCAATAACATACTTTCTAATTTGTAAGGAATCCCTCAGGAAAAAAAAAGGCTGAGTGTTTTTCATTGTTTATTTTGAGACATTGGAAATATTTTCATAGTGTTGGTTGTAGTGATGGTGGGGTTTTTTTTTTGAAAAACGTATCCCAGCAATAAATGTATGATGACATTTCTTTTCCTATATCACCTGCCGAATTCCAGAATGAATGAAGAACAGATTGCTACTGTTTGTCTGTCTGTCCTAAGAGCATTGTCCTACCTTCACAATCAAGGAGTTATTCACAGGGATATAAAGAGTGACTCTATACTTCTCACTAGTGATGGGCGAGTAAGTATTTGTCATTTTTTCTGGCCTTGATTTTTTTTCTTTTTAATTGGAACCACTGTAAAGTTCAGATGACTTCGGTAACATGTTAACAACCTGTCCATGAAATGTACACTGCTTGCCTGCAGCTTCCATTATTTACCAAGAGACATGGGAAAACTTGTTCAGCCTGAATTTATACATGAACTGCCCCGGTTCATACCTCCAGCCAAATCAGACTGTGCATCAAAATCCTGACAATTCAGAATGTTGCACTAGGACTTCAATTAAAAGAAACAAACAAATGTTCTTATCACAGAGAAATATGTTAGAAACATCTAGCATGTAAAACCAAGAAAAATCAAGACAAAGATACACAAATTAAGAGTTGTTGTTGTTGTTGTTGTTTTATTATTTTATTTTATTAGTTCGATTTATATGCCGCCCTTCTCTAGAGACTCAGGACGGCTTACAATGCGTTAAGCAATTGCCTTCATACTTTTGTATATACCTGCTTAGTAGGGTTTTTTGCCCCCCCCCCCAAAGCGATGTTCTATTTTATACAAAGTCAGCTTATTGCCCCCACAAACCGGGTCCTCATGTTGGTCCTCATGTTGTTGTTGTTGTTGTTGTTGTTGTTGTTGTTGTTATTTTGTGTGGTGGCGAGATTTGCTGACAAACATGCATGCAGATTTTTATAACAATTTCATTATTTTTGCAACATTTGCCAAGTGTTGCCGTAATGCACTGAAACAAATGCCCCACCAAATAAAATAAATAAAATATAATAAAAATTGAGTAAAATCAAAACGGACAGATTCATCTATCCTGATTTGCAAATTGCATATATTCAGGGAGGATATTAAACTTACATCAAAAAGAAGAGAATACCATTTTGAATGCTTTTTGGCTGGTTTCCCCTGATTTTTGCTTAATAAGATGCACACAATGCCTCATTATGTTCATTGTCTGCGGCGCACATTTTTGTCATGAACGGTTATATAACCATCTGATTCTACCGCCCCCTTCCACTTTAAAACCATCTTTTCTATATTTCAACATGCAAAAGATGGGCAAAAGTTTCCTCCGCTCCTCCATAAAGGAAAATTGATCTGGCATTCAAAAATACCCATTGTTTTGTTTCCCTTTTATGGTATAAAAAGAACCTTTGTTTATGCCATGGATGGCTAGGCTGTGGTTTTATAAATAGTAACAATCATTTCTAATTTTTATTTGATCAATGTTGAATTAAGAAGCAGGAAAAAAGGCATGAAAAGTAATGCCAAAATAAGATAAATAGTGCCACAAATAAAATGTGAGGCACCATTCGTACAAACATTTAGAAAGCTTCCTTATTAATTATTTTGATAGCTCCCTGTTCTGATCTCAGACTGCATCCTGACATGACAAATGAGCTGCTAATCTGATCTAATCCACTTTAGTCCCATGACTCAAGGCTCAATCATTATTCTGCTTCAGGCACAGGAAGGGGGGGTGGTGGTCTTGATTGTTTTTGCCATGAATTGATAAAGGGAACCTTTTCATTTGTGTCAGGTATGAACCAAGCAAACTTTTATATATGTATAACATTAATTGATGGCATTTAAAGCCATCATCTCCCCCAGCCCTCAAAAAAAGAATATAGGAAATTGAGGAAATCTCACACTTTTCATACTGCTATTTAGAGACAGTTTTTATCCTCTTGATTTTATTACAAGAAAATGTTGAAAGTTGGTTGAAGCTAGTAGCAGTTCATAGTAATAAACAAGAACATCTTTATTCAGTTTGCATTCTAATTTATGTTTGCATTTCTCAGTTTATGTTTCGCGAATCAATTTGCAAACCAAAAGGCAGTTATAAAGTGAAATTTGTATTTTCCTGAATTTTATGACACATTTTCTGCTGCTAGAACTACTAATTCTAGGAGCATGCAATTTGAAACCTAAATTGCACATGGAGAGGAGTGGCAGGAAACATCCTGTCAAAATAATTCTTTCCACAAACTAGAGGAAAAGTTCCCTTAATAATAGTAAATGAGAGGTATGCAAGACAATGCAATTAAGTTTATAATCGGGCAGAAAGTATTGAAATTGTAGAAAATGAGCTGTTGATATAATTTAATTGGAAGGGAAGCCTACAGCCTAACAACTTTTATCATCGTCACCTAATTCCATTTGGCTCTTAGTAAACTGCTCCTTGTAGAGATGCGGTGGCTCAGTGGCTAAGATGCTGAGCTTGTCGATCGAAAGATCGGCAATTCAGCGGTTCGAATCTCTAGTGCCACGTAACAGGGAGAGCTCCCGTTACTTGTCTCAGCTTCTGCCAACCTAGCAATTCGAAAACACGTAAAAAATGCAAGTAGAAAAATAGGGACCACCTTTGGTGGGAAGATAACAGCGTTCCGTGCGCCTTTGGCGTTTAGTCATGCCGGCCACATGACCACAGAGACGTCTTCCAGACAGTGCTGGCTCTTCAGCTAAGAAACAGAGATGAGCACTGCCCCCTAGAGTCGGGAACGACTAGCACATATGTGCGAGGGGAACCTTTACCTTTACCTAAACTGCTCTCTGAATACCTCACTGCTATTGGTTACTGAAATAGTCGTCTGACAAGTGCTTCCTATTCTGCTTGGTAGAGGTAGCACAGAGAGGGGAAGAAAAAAATATCCTTTTCAGCCCTGAAAATTTATCCAGGTGATACTTTTGTTCCATTAATTGCTGGTGGCCAATGCATCTAACCATGGTCAACGATTCCAGTTGATACAAAGTTTCTGTCCTACACTGGGAAAAAGGTTCCCCATCTAAATGTGTTAAACAATCCAAATTATGGGTCTGCTCAACAAATAGGAATACTATTCACTGTCCGCTTGTTTAATTTTGCACCACATGATGTATTATTTATTGTTCAGATAAAGCTGTCGGACTTCGGATTCTGTGCCCAAGTTTCAAAAGATGTTCCAAAAAGAAAATCACTTGTTGGAACTCCATACTGGATGGCCCCTGAAGTGATTTCAAGATTGCCTTATGGAACCGAGGTAAGCAAAACAATGATTTTACTCCATTCAGCAACATAAATTATCTTTGGAAAACAATAATCTTCTTTAAAATATTTACTGCATTTATTTAAAGTTTAAATTCAGTTTGAACATATTTCTTCCAGTCTGGATTCAGCCTGGAATATATTAATGAGATGCATTTGATTACACAATGATCTTTGGTGGGCTCAGGATGGAGGTAATGCATCCATCCTGGCTCCTCTTTGAGCTGTTGGTGACTTACAATATCATCAACAAGGGTATCTTTCTGGATGGACTCAGGGAGTTATGAGTAGGAGGCATGATGTTAAAGAACTTCCCTTCCTCCTTCCAGACTTGGGTCCGGATAGTGTTGGTTGGATGGAATTGGTCTAGAACTAGAATTGGACCATCTGGACTTAATCCAGAATGCAGTGACAGGGATAGTTATTTCATACATAACACCATTACTCTTACTATTCCACAAGGAAGACAATGAAAACCTGATTCTTTCCTTGGGGACTTGAGTCAGGATGATTCCAGAGAAGCACAACAAATTTGTGCTCTCTGATTGTCAATTAATGATAGGTTCTTGGTTTTTTGCTAGTAATTGCTAACGTTGTGTTTTGGTTTATTGTACATCACCCAGAGCCACATTCTTTGAACCAAACAGTTATATAAATGCTATATATAAATAAAAAACAAATAAGAAATAGTCTCTTTGAGCAGTTCCCATAACATTGATAAAAATAAGATTGTCCTTCTGTTCACATGATATGTTTAACTTGGTTACTGAATTATTCATTTTCTGGCTTCATACAATACATTAATCCATAAAGAAACAAGCGGGCTTGAATTGCAGACACACATTCATGCACACAACCCCTGAACAAGGGTAAGGCTCACCAGGTTTACTTAGCATGATATATGAATGCATCTTCTAGGTCTTTATGTGACCAGGATCTGCATGTTGCGTGAGCACAGCCACTGTCTGAACAACATCACACAAAAGAAAAAAAAGAGCAGCTTGAAAGAGGCAGCGAATCAAGCAAATAGCCCTCAAAATTGCATAATAATTCTTAAAACGAACGGCTAAAATGATAACTCTTGGAGAAAGAAAAAGTTGAATATCCTGGTTTGCTAAAATAGGAAGTGCCTGTCTGTTGCAATGGTTGTTTTCAGGTGATTGTTGAAGAAGTGCAGGATCTGGTACAGAACATTATTTATAAGAAGAGTTGTAGTGAGCCCTTTTCCATCTCTTTCTGTGCTGCATTTTTGGGCCCATTCTGAGTTTTCAAAACAACTGATGTAATTAGACATATTGAGCATAACAGCAGACATTTCAATCTTTCCACAAAGAGAGGATTATGTGAACTCATGATCTGTGCTATCACTGCAATGTCCCACAACTGCTATCACTGTTGTATGACAATCATTGCAAAAAAGACTCATAAGACTACTGTTTTGCTTTGTATTTTACTCCATCTTTCCTGGAAATAGAGCCTGCATGAAAAAAAAAATAGAAATTGCAAGTGCCTGTGATTTAACTTCAGCTTTACTACTTTCAGGGTGGTATTTTACAACTAACTTTTAGATCTGACCCACTGTCAGTAAGAGCAGCATACAGAAAGCAATTAATCATACTCTCCATGATTCAGTGAGAGTTGACGATCATTGCTGTTCTCATTAAATAATTTGCAATGGTAGTTTGATTTGCTGGGGAGGGCTAAGTTCCTGAATTCCTTTGTTGATGTGCTTATCTTATGATGATCTCAGTAAAGTATTATTAGGCAGAACATAATCGGAAAAACTTCTAAATCCATTTTGGTGAGTCATTTATTCTTTAGAACAGCCAGCCTATCTTAAAATGGGCAATCTATGAAATATTAGTAGAACTCTCCAATTTGGACTGCAAACTCACCTAATTTCCAGACAGCAGCAAGGAGTTAGTATTTTCTGTAGCTAGTGGTTGCCAGGATCTTTGCAGCTGAAATCTGAGGGTCCTGCAAATTATGATAATAGCAATAACATTTATACTTATATACCGCTTCACAGTGCTTTGCAGCCCTTCTAAGGGTATATAGAATCAGCATATTGCCCGAACAATCTGGGTCCTCATTTTACAGACCTCAGAAGGATGGAAGGCTGAATCAACCTTGAGCCAGTGAGATTCGAACTGCCGAAAGACTGGCAGTCAGCAGAATTTAGCCTGCAATACTGCATTTTAACCACTATGCCACCACAGCTCTTATGCTCCATCTAGGTTGGTGTTGGTTTTTGTTACCATAGAAAGACTTTCCAACACCAATCATGTGGACTTTTGAGATATGAGGACAATTAGTAATGGATAAATTTTATTTCCATAGTTAAACCTGCGCAAACAGGATTTTTAAGGTAACATTTTGGTAGAAAATGCTTTCAGGTGAGAAAAATAAGGCAATGTTAGCTACTGAAGTTAAACGTATGGCCAATTTGAAATCAGATATGTGTCGCCAGCATCTTAAGACAGAGCCCTGCAATGCCAACCACAAATTACCCCTCTCTTTTTTTTAAGGATAAAATAACAAGGAGAATTAAACATCAGTATAAGAGTATGTTTAATGCATCTTAATTGCACTGTAATTGGTTCTATGTTGCAGGTGGACATCTGGTCTCTTGGCATCATGGTGATAGAAATGATAGATGGGGAACCGCCTTATTTCAATGAGCCACCTCTCCAGGCCATGCGTAGAATCCGAGACAATGTACCACCAAGAGTGAAGGACCTACACAAGGTGGGAATGCTCACCTTTCCGTTGATTCTTGTGCTTATCGTTCGTCTCCAGCATCTTAGCTGAAATAGGTGGGGGTAACCTGAGGCCCCAGAACAACACCTAACCCCAAACTCACTGTTTATATTCCCAGAAGAGCTTCAACATGTAGACAACCAAGAACAGTTTCACGCAAACAGGATGAGACGGTGCAAGTTTCCTTTCTCCCCATGCACAAGATTATGTTGAGCCCATTTAGCTGTCTAAGTGTAGGCTTAAACTCATTTTAATCTCTGCATTAATTTATATTTCAGTAGGATATTTATATAGAATGTTCTGAGCAGAAACATTTGATATACCTGCATTTCTCCTTCCATTTAGCCATCACTCTTTTTCCTCTATGTTCTAAAAAAGGTGAACTATATGTAGCATTCAATTCTGTTAGCCATGCAAAACAGAAGATTAGGGTTTAGGGTTTTGCATTGATATACTGTAATTATACCTTATATTCCCAGTTGTCCTATTGCTTATTGATAAAGAAAACAAACAATTTTTATACATAGAACTGCATTATCCCTGATAAGAATGTGTGCATGAATACTCCCCCTACCCCAATAGCATGCTTTGAATTAATAGCAGTTCCCCAAGAGGGTACAATTAAATAATAAAACCATACAAAAATTCAGAGTGAAAGTGAAGAGTTTCAGAAATATCAATCACATGCATTACATAAAATGGCAACAACAGCAGCAACTACTGTTGAAAAACACACATATGGACAATGCAGCATAGGTTCAACTCAAAGCTTGTGGAAACAGGTCTCCTGCTGGGGCCAGCTAAATTTCTCCCCTTGTAAATCATTGTCATGGTATGATTGAGGGCAAGTGAATTATGGGTTAAATGAAAGCTGCTTTTGGCCTGCAAGCCCCAATCTTCTGAGGTGTGATTTAGATGTTAGTGTCCTCACAGTGTCATTTGGTCTTTTCCTAGGTTTCATCAGTTCTCCGTGGATTTTTAGACTTGATGCTGGTGAGGGAACCTTCACAGAGAGGATCAGCACAAGAACTCCTGAGGCACCCGTTTCTGAAACTGGCTGGGCCTCCATCTTGCATAGTGCCTCTCATGAGGCAATATCGGCACCACTAAATTCGGCTGCTTTTGTTCATTCGTTTATTTGTTTTCCAGGAAGCAATGAGGTTGGGTGCTGCCAAATCAGCAGCAAGCAGTAGTGATCCAGTGAGAAATATGCCACTGTTGACATGGCTCAGCCCATCGTGAAGGCGTCACAGTGAAGATGTAGCTTGGCTAATTCCTGACAATGTCGACAGTTAGTGCTCCTGGGTGAAATGCAACCACAGTTGGATTTTTTTTGGCCTGAGTCAGAGCAAGAGGATTTGATTTTAAACCATCCCATTTGGGGTGAGGCAGGGGGAACTTCCAGCATTACCCCAATGGAAGGCCAAACTTTTATTGCAGATCAAAGGAGAACAACACTTCTGCTTCAAAAGAGACACTTTTTTCCCTGAATTTAAAAAAAAAGAAAAGAAAAACAACCCAAGAAGCACTTTTTATCTCAGTTAGAGCAGTGTGATGTATTTTGAAATGAATTTGTAATTTTCTGTACATTGCTTTTGATAATTTATGTACTTTGGTGTCATAGTTGCTAGTGGAAGTGATCGGTATTACTTAGCAAGTATTAGAGCGAGAGCTTTCCTACTTTTTTATCTCTTTTGAAGAGAAACAAACTTACATGCACACGCACACAAGTGCAGCTCGGAATGTTGATTAGATTTGCTTATCTGTGCCAGGCAAACATGGCTTCATTTTGCAAATGTTCAAATTGCTGGCCAATGCTGTATTCATTCCTCCATTCCTCCACAAAAATTTCAAGATTTCAGTGTTGTTTTGAAGCGATAAGCACCTGGAAAAATCTATTCATGCTTATGGAAAAGGTTGTGTCACAATTCTGTATTCATTGGATGAAAGTATCACGTCTTTTATGGTGGTAAGCATATGATCAGTTAAGAACAACAGAGGAGAAATCGGCTGATCAAGAAGAAGTTTGGTTGGCCACCAATAACTATGACATTTCTGGCTATGTACATTGAGCTTGAAATTACAACACACTTAAACAAGTCAGTGAAAGATCTAACAGTCACATTTACACTTGTTAAGCTTGCAGGCATTAACCTTTGTTAGTTTCTTTGTGAATGGGAGTTAGTTAATGAACCAGGTTACGTGCATCAGGTTAGTGCAGCCTATACTGAGTGACTTGTCCCATAGAGACCTAACTGCTCTGGATCAAAACTTACGGGACTTGTATTCCAGCAATGGATTCAGCCAGAGCTAACATTGGATGGTGCCAGATTGAAAATGAGACCAGTTTGCAAAGCAGACCAGTGTCTGTATGGTGCTAGATGGGGTTGCTTACTCCATATGACTTCAGCTGAGTGGTTATGCTTCCATCTGAATTCCAGAAGCCCTTCCTTGTCCTGTGTTTATAAGTTTCCACCATGATTCACCATGTATCTGAGTGCCCGTCCCGGAGTTGGGGCAGAGCACTTAAGAGTATCATCCTTGCTGTCTGCAAACAGTGGCTTCATTACCAGTACTTCCTTGTGCCATCACACCACCCAAGTGGGAGTGCCTGGAACTACTGGTCTTTCTCTCCCTAAATTCTGTTCTGTCCCTTGTCCTTGTGGACTAACATCATGTCCTGTGACTTGAGGTCATCCAAGCAAATGCAGCTGCCATTGCATACTGTACTGAAAAGCCAGTATCTTCATCCATCTCTGGAATCTCTTAAAGTGGGACATTCCAAGGAGCTGATGCCTGTCCTTGTAGCTAGTCTTTAAGCTAGGCAGACCAAGGGCCTGACCTACATTCACATACCCTCGGAGGCTTCGCACACTTCCTAGTTTAGGCTACTGAATGAAGAAAGCTGTATAGCACAGAGCAGACTTTCATCGTTGCATTGCATCGCCCGCACTGCCCAACACTCTGAACTGCTCACAAGTTGTAAGTACATAAACTGGAGTTTAGCAGCGACAATAGTTCAGCAGACACTTGGGCTTGCACACACAGTAATGCCAGTTTTGAGTCTCCTTTTGTAGCTTCACGTGTGACAGACACCCCACTCAAGGCACCTGCGGGCAAGAGAATCTCTGCTTAGTCTTAGCAACATGGATATTGCTTCATTTGACTCCGTGCCAAGTCCAATGCCTCCCGTTTGTCTTCATTATTTTTATTCAGGCTTTAGTAGTCAACCACTAAGTGGGCGTTTTCTGAGTTTAAATCAAAGTGTTGTAAAATTTGGTTAATGTGTTTTGCCATACAGGAGAAAAAGCTGTCTAAATCCCTTTGAAATGTTAATTCAGCAATGGCAACTACAATTAATCTTATGTTGCTTGTTTGGTAGGTTTGCATGTTTACCATAGACCTGGAGAGATTTGCCTTTATTAAGTGCTCCATAATTATTTCAGTCAGTGGGAAGGAGTTATTTATTTATTCATTATGTATAACTTGAAAGCCATGTCTTTTCTAACTTGGATTTTGCTTTTCGTTTTGGGTTATTTTCACCTGATTTCACTTGAAGAAAACTGTCTGATCCTAAAACTGATGTCTCTGGATAGAGCATTTTGCATTGTGGTGGGCTTTCATTTTATCAGTAAGTTGGTTGATACCTATTGTAATAAAAGAGAAGCCAACCCAAAAGTTAGAAAGTTGCTGATTTGTGAGTGAGTGGTTAATGAAGATATATCTTTTTTTCCATTCTGTATATCGCTTTTTTAAAAATTCAAGTTGGAACCCCACATTACATCGTATACATTGATGCACTACTTTTCTTTGAATGTACATTCAGTCCCAAGCTCTTTCGTTAAGAGGTGCATAGAATTAAGGCACTATCCTTAGTACATTTTGGATTGGGGGGGGGGGAGAGACGGGGGAAACAACATTTTGCTTCCCAGTAATCTTTTGATGGGAGGAGGCAAAGAAAGGAGGTTGTCATAATGCAAAAATGAATAGTATTACATGGTACAGTAGACAGGATTGGGATTTCCTTCTGTGGATGGAGTGGAGTCTATTTTAAGAGGGAATCCATTTTAACGTTTACACAAGTTATCATTTCTTTCCCATTAAAAATGGTGTGAATATATGGTGGCGCAGTGATTAGGATGCAGGCCAATTCTGCCGACTGCCAGCAGTTCGATTCTCACCAGGCTCAAGATTGACTCAGCCTTCCATCCTTCCAAGGTGGGTATAATGAGGACCCAGATTGTTGGGGGCAATAGGTTGAGTCTGTAAACCACTTAGTGAGAACTGTAAAGCAATATGAGGTGATATATAGTCTAAGTGCTATTGCTAATTATATTTATTTATACCTGTATACAATGTAAAGGAGGGATGCGGTGGCTCAGTGGCTAAGGCACTGAGCTTGTTGATCGAAAGGTCGGCAGTTCAGCAGTTAAAAACCCTAGCACCGCATAACGGGGTGAGGTCCCGTTACTTGTCCCAGCTTCTCCCAACCTAGCAGCTCGAAAGCACATAAAAAATGCAAGTAGAAAAATAGGGACCACCTTTGGTGGGAAGGTAACAGCGTTCTGTGCGCCTTTGGCATTTAGTCATGCTGGCCACATGACTACAGAGACGTCTTCGGTCAGTGCTGGCTCTTTGGTTTTGAAACGGAGATGAGCACCGCCCCCTAGAGTCAGGAACAACTAGCACATATGTGCGAGGGGAACCTTTACAATGTAAAAGTTATCCAACTTCCAACTAATTTTGGTTGTTATACTAGGATTTCGTAAACAATTGGCGCTACATAAGGTCCTGCAATTCTGTGTTGCCCATCTTTATTTTAGGTAATTCTCAAAACTCTATTCTGGTGAATATAATTTATATTCAGGATTGATAACCCCATATGGATGATGCTGGGGTTGGCTAGAATAGTGAAGGGGTGGTGGTTACAGTTATATGCATCACTCCACCTACTGTTCAACCTTCCTCAGAGAGATTAATGTCCCAAATATGGCAGATGATGATACTCATTGCAGTATTGAAATAATATTTGAGTATATTGCTTTGCTGTAAATTCATAATAAACTGCATCTTACTAATTATTCAGATTGTTTATATAGAAAGCTTGCACACTGTGACAAGATTTCTGACCATGATTTGCTGAACAAGCTATACTCATTTTCACATCTAGTGTTAGGACACCACCTTTTTCAGACTGTGGACCACATTTACTCTGAATGGTTCACTAGGGATGGCACACCCCAAAATCAACATGCGCTTAAGCCAGATGCTAAGTGATTTACTGTAATGTTAGATACAGTTAATTGTTTCTCAATTATTTGGTATAATTTTCTTTTCATGTATTTGCTGGAAATCTAGAAGGGCTATGGACTTCTGTTGCCCAAGTTGAGAAGGGCATATGGTATTTGAACCATGGATTATGCATCCACATGCTAAACTTATAGATACCATAACTGGGATGCAAATGTTAAAATGACCACAAGATGGCAGCAAAGGCCTAACGAAAACAAAAGACTTGGCTGATATCTAGTGGTCATTTAAAGCTTTACAGGCCAGATATGGTGATGGACGAACTACAGTGGCAGATTCACTCATAATACTAAACCAACCCAGCATTAAAAGTTTTATGCCTTAAATCAAGGGGGATCAAGGTCAGCCATACTACTGTGTGGTAACTGCATTCCAAGATTTCAAATAGAGTTATTTTTCCTAGGGCAGGTGATGTTGGACCTTTTAATGCTGCTCTGAACTATTTAGAGGAAGAAAATATACTCCAGATACCTGACACCAGAAAGAAAAAATAAACTTTATCATGGCAGGAGAAAAACGTATGAAAGAGCTTTGACAATTACAACTATAAATCCTACCAAGATAATCCATGTATAGAAATCCATACTTGTTTTCCTAATACTTTTTTCTTGGTTTGCCGGGTTCCTCCATCTCTCTGCCTCCTCCTCCTTTTTCCTCTAATTTCTCCTCCTCCTTCCTTTCTTCTTGGTTTCCCATACTATTTTCTTCCTGCAATTCCTCTGAACTTCTACTCTCCTCCTCCCTTTCTAGTTCCAGCTCTAATTGTGTAGATTTAAAATTGTGTTCATAAAAATCCTGAGCATCCCAGCAGTTTTCTATTTTCACTTTCCTATCGTTCCACGTAAACATGAGACCTTCCGGCAATAACCACCTATACATAATCCCATTCTTCCTCAGCTGTAGCGTTAAAGGCTGGTAATTCCTCCTGATTTCCCTAACCTGTCTTGGAACTTGCCTCAGCACTGAAATCTGTTTTCTCCTAAATACTGCAGCTCGGTTCCGAGATTTCTTGTAGATCTCCTCCCGCACTGACTTCTTGTTAAACCTAATATGTACTTCTCGTGGGTGGTTATATCTCTTTGCATAATTAGTATAAACCCGAAATACCGCATCAATATCACTAAGGACCGCTATTTTATCTTTTTCCAGTATTTCAGAGATAATGTCCCCTATAATCCCTTTTAAATCTTCTCCTTTTTCCTCTATTACATCTTGCAATCTTAAAATAAAGGAAGATCTTTCAAGTTCCAAAAAAATTATCTCCTCTTCTACAGCTCTATTTACTGAAATCTGTTCACGTTCATAGTCATCCAGTTGGCCTTCACATCTACCTAACCTGGTTTCCACCTCCTGTAGTCTTCCCTCCTGCTTCATCATGTCATCTCGTATTTCTTCTAACTTCTCATTAAACTCCTTAATATCCCCCCTTACCGCTCCCATTTCATCTTTCATATCTGAAGTAAGATCCTCAAGCTTTTCAAGTTTTTTGGAGATAGACTCCTGGTTCTTTATCATAACCTCCTGCATAGCTTGGAGCATCCCCTGAAGACTTTGCAAGGTGGGAGCCTTTCCCGCAAAGGTCTGATCATCTATTTTTCACCATCGCCAAGGTTGATGAAATCGGAGATGACACAACTGGAAGCATAACAACCTTTTTCCCTGTTTTAGTCATCGTAGTTGTCGCTGTAGTTGACATGGTTGCTATTAAATCTATGTAATACCGGAATTTAAGAGTGAAAGTCTATAGGGAAGACTCTCTGACTTCTGCAAAGCTTGAATAAAAGTCCATGGAAAGAACTCCTTCTAAACTGTTTCATGAAGCAGTGCCCCATCCAGGGTAGACTCTCTCTCTCTGTGTGAGTGTGTCTAATGATGATGATGACACTGTTGTATTGTTTTATAAAAATTTGTTTCCATGAAACCCTGTTTTAAATCATTTCTGTATTTTGTCCTGGGTCTTTGAAGAGAAAAATCAGTGTAAGCATTTGATTGATCTGTATACTGCTGCAATAATCTGACATTTATTTATTTACTCATTTTCCAATTTATACGAAACCAGGAGCAATTCTGCAGAGTGTACCATTATATCCGACCCCTCAGCAGATAAGGCAGCCATCAGATCTGGATTTCTAATTATTCTGATTCCCCTTATTCAATTCAGTCCAACAAACTGTACTCTTACCTTCCCTAAATTATAATGCTGAAATGAATACTATGATAAGAACTATGAGCTTTGTTTATCTAACCAGTTCCTATGTTCAGCATGCTACGATTCCACCGTTTTCTAGCAAACTGATCATTCTCGAGCTCCTGGGGAGGGAGGGAGGAAGCAGTGAAAAGAGGGAGCACCCCCTTTCCTAAAGTCTGACCAATCCTAGGAACAATGTAACCAGAACTTCAGAAGTTGAAGCAATTTGCTTTCCAATAAGGCAGGGGTATCAAACTCGCGTCGTCATGGCATCATCACGTGACGTTATCGAGACTTTTTTCACCTTTGCTAAGCCAGGCAAGGGCGGGGCCAGCACGTGATGCAGGGCCACGAGTTTGACACCCCTGCAGTAAGGAATAGATGCAGCCAGCTTTAAGCACACTACTGGACTCCTGTATTTATGCACCATAAACATTCTTCTGGATGCTTGCATTGAACTAAGTCAGATTTGTTTTAATTGCGGTCTGTGGAATAAAGTAAAATTGACTAATTCCTCATATATTGTTAAATCCAAGCCAAACAAATCACTTTATGGCTTAGTGCAGTGTATAAATCAGCACCCTGGCCCAAAGTTAAACCACCCTGAGCCACCAATAAACATCTGCACACGTTAGTCTGGGGATACTGAATTCACTGGATGGATGGAAAGCCATGGATAAATCCGAACCTCTTTCTCTAAAGAACCATCCCACAAAACAGTGACTGTGATCAGGGTTGTGACCTTCCGAAACTCTTATCCTTTACTTAGCTGGAGGCATCTCTCATGCAGAGTCCTTTTTCCTTAATCCTCTAGCATTTTATTGCATTCTTCTTTGCCTAAGATATTTTAATATCAATAAAACATTTAGTCTAAATGCTCCATATTAAGAATACTCCACATTAAGCAACATAGTTTAGGATTTATTGGTTTTTGCTGTTTACTTCCATATCTATATTTACACATCAGTTATTTCTAACACCTGAAGGTTTCTGCATAGTAAGATGAACATTTCTTGGTGATAATCTTATATAATCATTACATTGCGGTAGGCATTTTTTTTCAGTCACAGTACATGCAAAGTGTACAGCCCATAAGCATTTCTCACACCAGAGCTTAGCACTCTTGTGATTTGAGCAGCAACGTTCATAAAACTGTTTGGGTGCCAAAGCATTTCAATAAGCAATAAAAATATAAAATAAAATTCTCCAAGCTTTAAAACCTTAGAATCTTAATCTTGGCTCTGTTTGAAATATATTTCAAACTGAGATGGGCTGAACTGGAAATGAGATGATGGGATCGTATGAGCAAGTCCTGAGGGTGTTGTTTTAATTTACCCAAATGGCATTATTCCTTTGAAAATATGTGAAAGTTGAGTAGAGAATCCTACCGTTCCTAGAGCTTTGGAAAAACAGGATTGATAACGGCAACTTCATAAACTGAAGGAGCACTAGCGGAGGAACTGATTAAATCTGATGGAAACCCCAAGTATGGAGAAGGAAGGTGGATTTTTTGTCAGTTCCCCTTTTCCCTTGAACTTCTGCTCTCATCCTATTGTGCAAAGTCCCCATAATATTCCATGCAGATTTTTCAAATGATGTTAAATGTAGCAGAAGGAAAAAGAAATCAAAACTTTCCCGTGAGCCGTGAAGACCCCACAACAGGAACTCTGTTCCTGGACCCCTTGATCCAAGCCATGGGCTTACATTGTGAATGGAGAACTAATTAGCGCGTGTGTCATGGTGCACCGGTTTCATCAGCCACAGCTAGCAAGGCAAAAATAGAAATGGTGAGAACTGTAGTCCAGCAAACGTGGAAAGGGAAGGTTCCACATGTTCATTTGTCACTGTCCTCATTCCCCTCACCACCATTGAGGTAAACACATTTTCAGAGCAAAACATACATTTCCATTCTCGTCTCCTCCACCACCACATGAATGGAAACGATGCTTGGCCAATGTAGGGAACATTGCCTGTTGGGTCAGTTCTCCAGAGAAGATGAAGTTATTTCCCTGTTTTAAGCATTGAGAAATGGCTGTTCTTCCATCCCCTCCCTTCCCACCCCTCCCACCCCTTGAATCCCTCCTCCCATCCCCCACCCCTCCATCTGTCAGTATACAGTATATTTCACTATGTATAAGAGGCCCTGACCTATAGGAAAAAAAGTGCTTTTGCTTGAGCTGATCTCTTTCTTTTGCCAGCTATCCCATATGTTTATACTCCGATCTGTCCCGTGGAATTTGGACTTGGTTGGCTGTCATTTTGAGATGGATGTGATAAACACCAAGGGTTACCACAATCACCAAGCCCAAGATCAAGCCCAATATGAGAGGAAGGGTTTCTTCTAATTGTTCTCTTTGATCCACTGGACATTTATGTTCTGCAGCACAGAGAAAAGAGAAGAATGAGGAAAGAGGGAGAGAAGTGTTATTTTGCATATAGGTATTTCTCCTGCAAAACAAAGGATTACTTTCATTTTTCTCAGAAGACTTCATGACAATATACAGATTCCTCACCAACATACACATACCTTCTCAACTATTCTGAGAGTGAGATTAAGCTGAATAGAAGAAAATGGACTGGCTTCAGGTCCCCCAGGATGTAGAATTTTGATCTAGATCTCCTCAGCCCTAAGGTGAAATTTAGCCCATTGTGTTAAAGTTGTGCTGTATGAAACCAAGGAGTAGGACAATTTTAATGGATCACAAGCCTCCTATGCCCTTGAAAGCCTGAGATGCATACTGCTTGGGTGTGATAAAATGTGCAGGTGAAGAAGTGAGAGGAAAATGTTGGTAACCGCACCCACAGCTTCCCAGGGAAGAAGCAGCACATCCCAGAGTAGGACTCAAGACAACAGACTGCACAGTCCTGAACTGGAGGGGGAAAGGAAAAAACATTTAGACTGGCCACACTTTAGAATCTCCCAGGGTGTATCTATTAGGTTAGAAAGTTGTAGCTTTGGTCTGACAAGATTCTGCCTATTAGATGTAAGCAAATATAGAACTGCATTTGATTGGATCTCACTATGTCATCTTAGGCCTAACAATTAGGAATCCAAAGCAAGCAACCCAAATCATTATTCTTCAATCATTAGGTCTTGCCGTACTTGTATCCTTTCCTACTGCTCAAGCTGATGGGTCATTGCTTATTACCACATGTGCCAATGATAGCTGCTACCAGTGCTGTTTGCACAACCCTAGCAATAAAGCCGTTCCGATGGAGATGGAAGAATCTTAATGCCCATAACAATAACTCTCTTTGCAATTTTGTTAGTAACTTTGTGCTTGCTTGATTTTTTTTTTTGTTTTTTTTTTGTCCTTTTTAATCATATGCCACCTAGAGTCACAAATCTGTGATGGCAGGTATACAAATGTGACTTATAAATAAATATAATGTAGAAATAAATAAGTCCCTTTGAGAATAAAAGGGACAGAGTCTCTTTGACAGAACTCTCTTATCACGTAACCTGCCAATTGTGTGAAAATGCCTAAATTCAGCAAAGTGCATAGCTTTGATAGGATTCAGCCCATCTTATTATTATCCCCTTTCTCCACACTGGATTCTTGAACTTTAAAGTATCAGAATGTGCCTTGAATGTGCCTTGAATCCATTCCCTTGAATTGCTTAAAAGTCTACATCTCATTCCCAAAATTACTGAAACATGCATGGGGCTTCCCTTGAAGAGCATTCAAGGAAGCATCAGCTGATGCAGAATGCGGCTGTGTGGACAGTTATACGTGCACCTACGAGGGTGCAGATTTTATATGACAGCTTGATGCTTTTTTAGTCTTTTGTTCTGCAAGCTGCATTGGTTGCCTTTTTGCTTCCAGGTGCAATTCAAGGTTCTAGTTTTGACCTTTGACCTATATGGCATGGTGATAGGTTATTTGAGGGAAACAACTCTTCCCAATTAATTTATCCATCCCACCACGTCAGGCAGGAGGGGTAGGCTAAGGGTCCCGTCTCCAAGGAGATGCATCTCATAAGATCCAGCGACATGCCTTTTGTGCTGTGGCCCCAGCCCTCTGGAACATCATTCACCCCAAAATGAGGTTAACCTCATCTCTGTTAATCTGGCAGGCATTTAAAACATGTTTTTTTTTCACCAGCCTGGGAGATCCCAGGGGGAGTCTACAAGGTAGCTGTGTGAGATTAACTAATGTTAGTTCGCCCACAGTCTTGGATTTTAACTGTTTTATTTTATTTAATTTTGATGTTTTTAGATTGTTATGAAGTTTTTGACTGTTTTGCTGTACACAGCCCAAAATTACATTTTGTGAGATGGGCAGCTCGTAAATATGGTAAGTAAGTAAGTAAGTAAGTAAGTTAAGTAAGTAAGTAAGTAAGTAAGTAAGTAAGTAAATAAATAAATAAATGCAATTCAACTATTTGCAATTCAACAAGTTTGTTATTGTTTTTTTTTAACTATGGGGCCAAACGCATATATATCTTTTAAACTGTATTTTAATGTTTGTATTTATGTTCTTACTTTGGCTGTGCACCGCCCTGAGTCCTTCGGGAGAAGGGCGGTATATAAATCTGATAATAAATAAACAAATAATAAACTATTCAGTGTGAGGGATTGCAGGGAGCAGAGGAAATAGGCCTATTTGTTGACCAAACATGTTCACAGAAGAAATAATGGCTGTACTTGAGAATAAGAAAACAAACTGGAGGAAAACCCTCATCATGAGGTGATCACTTGGGAAAGAAGTCAGATTTAAAAACCTTCAGGTCAGGAAGCCATTTCGAAGAACATTATGAGTTCACTAGCTTGCAGACAATATCTAGTCTCTCCTGTTGTCTTTTAATCTGCTGGATCCTATATGCTCATCTTTGACTTTGTTGTGGTAAAAAGTTATTACCTGATCTGGTGCAATCCTCTTTTTTCCCCCTATTGTCTGCTTTGATTAAACTTACAATTCTCAAATAGCCAGAAAGGGGGAAAGACCAGCAGGACAGCTGTAAATGGCTAGGATCATTTAAAATGTTTGCCTTTGAGAAATAAAATAAAGACACACAGACAAATCCAGCCCTGGGACTCAGTCAAACTCACCATTGATTATATTGCTAAATAGAAGAGAATCACGCATTTTTTCTCAAAGGTTTTTTTTTTTTTTTTATGGACAGTTGTGGCCCACCAATCAAGAAACTTTAGAAGTAGTAGGCATTTTTGCCCAAAGCTCAGGGTCAGTCCTACCACTAGGCAGTGTGAGGCAGTTGCTGCAGAACAGATGCTAAAAACTGCTGGTAAAGAAGACAGAGCTGTTTTCAAGTACCACTATAGTCCTTTGCAGTCTTGATGGAAAATTCAGAAAAAGAGAGAAAAATAACATATTGTCCTTTACCTCTGCTATAAAACTATCTTGCAACATGCCTGCGAAAGCTACCTGCTTAAAATGCATACTTTACTCAAATTAGAATGCCAACACACTAAACATCCCTCAAAACGTTCCAAAATTCACTCTTTTTTTCAGACTATTTTTTTTTAATGTAGGAAGACATGCTACACCGCTCTTGAATTTCTGGGATTACAAAATGGGAAAAAAAGGACACACTTTCTGAATAATTTAACATGTCAGCTAAAATAGCCAGGCTATATATCCTGAGGTGCTATTCTTGTATTGCAGTAAAAACTATAATGATAATGCTTTTGAGTTGGATCAATAAGCAATAGAGAATTTGCCCAGGGGACATAAAAGCATATGTGGAAATTTCAATTAGGAGTCAGTCCACTATACAAGCCAAAGTTGCACATGTGTCTATTTTACAGACTGAGAACTACATAAAGTTCATTATATGAAATCACAATTGAACTGAACTAATGTCAAGAATTCAAAATGAGAGCAACAACTGAGCAGAAGGTGGACAGCAATTCCCACTGTTGAAGGAAAGGAAAAGGAAGGGAAGGGAAAAAGGAGAAAGAGAAAAAGCCACCAAAAAAAATCACATTTTTTCCTGTTAAAAACCTTTATCATAAATTGATGCAATTGTAGTGCAGTCCACTACCATAATTTGAAGTAGCATCAAACTGTCATATAAAATGGGTACATATTGGAACTAAGGTGGGGATGAACATGGATTTTAATTATTAATCAGGGAAAACAATTATAGCATAACCAACCTGAGACCTTGGCTCAAACAGTTGATTATGATGCCAAATTTCTGATTTCTCTAGCAACAATGAATACTGAAGACAATTAATCCAAAGGACTAACTTCTTCAAACTCAGATTAGCAAGATTAGTTTGAAAAAATTGCTATAACAACACAAATTACAGCAAGTGCACTTTGTTTTCATATAGGAACTGCTACCTTGGCAAATCAAAACAGATTTTTAATTCCTCCACACACTCTCTTGATGCAAGAGAGAGGAGGCCTTTCTTTCTTTCTTTCTTTCTTTCTTTCTTTCTTTCTTTCTTTCTTTCTTTCTTTCCTTCTTTCTTTCCTTCCTTCCTTCCTTCCTTCCTTCCTTCCTTCCTTCTTTTTCTTTCTTTCTGCCAGCCTGAACCTGAGATTATTTACAAAATGGTTACTAGCCACTTTACCATGGCGATAACTAACTCAATGACTTTAACTTGCCCTCCTGTTGCTAGTCATCTGCATTTTCCAGTTCCAGATTTTCTACTTCTTTTATGATCAGCTTCCTTCCCTTTTAATGACATGATCTATTCCTTTCCCATTCCTTCCGTGTTCCCACTGCTATATCCTTGCTTACCTTCCTTAAATCTCAACTTTGCCTTCTGAATAATCATGAAAGTAATCAAGGGGTTATGATGGGAATTTCAGTGCCATCAACAATGTAGCGTTTAGCACTCTAGTAATAAAAAATGCAAAATGCATACTAGAGAATATTACAAAGATTAAACCACCAGGACAGCTACTATACATGTGGAACTTCATAAACCTCACCAATGAATGATTTTAACATCAGAAAAAAGGGAGGAAAGACCAAGCAAGTTGATTAGACTTTACTAATACTTTACTAATACTCATAAACCCAGGATAGTATATAAGATGCAATGGGACAACAAATCCCTACTCAGTGCTTCTGCTTATCTATTAAAAAGCATACAAAATAGACCCACAATATACAAACTGTATGATTTTGTATACAATACATTACTTAGGAATTTATGGATCCCTTGACAGAAATTTAGATAGGCTAATTATTATTAATCATGGTAGAAACATACTTCTGAAGAAACCTATCACTTTCAATTGTCAAGAGAAATCCCCATCTCCTTCAGCATTCCACTGTTGAAGAGATTTTAAGGTTTCACTGAAATCTGCATTCCTATCATTTCTCCCCCATTGATTCTACCCTGCCCTTTAGAAATACAGAGAATATCTGCTTCATTCTTAAAATGTCTATTTTATAGAGGGTCAGGCTCTTCCTATTCAGAAGGAAAGTATCTCTGGACAGCTATCATTGGAAGTTAAAACAAAACAAAACTGGCAGGATTGTTACCACTGGATTTAGAATAGCAAGAAGTTTGCTTGACTATTTGGATACTTAGCCTAATCTATCAGGGATTTTCTTACAACTTCAGATTCTTGATCCTTATTTATGCACACTGGATTATAACATCCACACACTGTTACACCTGCACACGACAAACATTTAATAAATCCTCTATGGTTTGCCAAAACATCCTTGAGCCAGAGGAATATATAAAGTATGCATTATATAAAATAAAGACAGTGGAAATTTTCACTTTAGGATCATAAACATTTTGCCAGAATAGTGATGAATCTATACCTACTGAGAAATAAAATCTCTAGCTACCAGTAAGCAAAACGCCCCCAAAAACACAAACCTTGAAAGAAGGCATTGTGGAATGCCATTGGAGATAGTTTGCTCTTCATTAGGTGCCGTGTTTCCTTGGGTCACTGCAAGCCTCTGCCCTATGCTTTCTTTCAAGGCAAAGCCTTGCTGTTATCAATAATCTTACATCAAATTTCCCAGTGAGTGCGCTAGACACACCATTTATTTTTTAAACTAAAAGAAGGAGCCTTCCCCCATTGAAGAAAGTCTTCATCTACAATACGAAATCCTGGTCTTTATCCACCCCAATCTTCCACAAAAACAGCTTGCTTCCTCAGTCAAGAGAGTCTCTATTGACTTTCCAAATTGCATCTATAAATTGATCAGCATCCAGAGGTCCCTTACCTTCACTGAAAACAAAATCAGAGCTGATGTCAAAGGGCTGGAGGCGGACCTCTGACAGCAAGAGAACAACTGATTTTTGGTGGTCAACGGAGCTTAAGGTGATTGTCTGCTGAGCTTGACATTCATAAGACTTCCCAGCTGGGGTGACTAAAGCAGAGAGGTGACGTGTTGTGACTGTGTGTTTCCCCGCTGTCAAGAAGAAAATATTATTATTGGATGACTATCATACTTTTTTTTCCTAGACCAAATGACTATTTAATTCAGCATTCCATGACCAACTGCATTTAATATATTTTATAAATATCTTCTCCACATCTGCTAGGTTTTAATAACATCAACATTAAAAAGACTTCAGAAAATGTCTAAAGAACAAGAAATTTGATCAAATTGCTCAAAAAATCCTTTTCCTTTGTTAAAGAGACAAAAATGTGGACAATGAATATCAAGACTGTCTGTAAATATGCATTTTGTACGTTTGTATGTTTTTAGTCTTTTTTCACTTCTAGTCTTTTTTCACTTTTTTCTTTTCATTTTGCGTATTCTTTTTAAAATATATATATTTAGTTAATATAAATATGAAAAGTCTATTTTTACAAATCAGATAAAGATTGGCATTAAGAATTTGCCCAGTCTTCTGTGTTTGCAAGAAAGAAAAATAGTTTTTCTAATATATTTAGAGATTTTAATATGTGCTCTTACAAATTAGGCTGTAATTCTAATAGACAGATATTGGAAGGAACTAGATAGCAAGAGAGAGCTGAACAATATGCAGATGAACAGACACATGTTCTCTCATACATGTCAGGAAACATTCATGCTGTTGTACATGATTAGAAGCATAAAACCTTAATTTCCGTTTTCATGACATTCCTCCAGTCCTTGTATTCAGAACTACATAGCACAATGTGATGAAAATCGTTAAATGCATAAGCAAAAGATGCTTTATTTCCCATTAGGATCCTAAAATGATGCTCACACTTCAAACATCTAATGGCTTATGCTGATGACAGCAGCTATGATGATCCCACAAGGAATAGCAAGTCCTAACTAGAAATTCAGCATTACCAGCAGTGCTATTATTAGCTTTCTATGACTAGATCCTGCTTGAAAAAAAAGAAAAACCACACCACCCTTTTGCAGATAACATTCCCGGGGAATCACGCTCCACCATTCATGTAGTCACATGTAACCCCTTCAGAGCAGCATCACAAATGGGTCCTGAGTGGCTGGATGACGTACAGTACTGCTGATGGGGCAGAATTGGACCTAAAAAAACCCAGATGGCAAGTCCTATTGGAATGACTTCTGGACATTGCAGATCACAACTCACAACTCGTCATACGTATATGCTTGTGCGGATGAATGGAACTGTAGAATGATTCATCAGAAGAGGAAACATCATGAAGGTCTGTATTGTCCAATACCCTCTCACAAAAAATATCCATTTTCCAAAGTATAGGAAAAATGGACCGAGTGGATAAATAAGCATAATGCAAACATTTAAAACTGAAAATGGGAGGCAAATTTTCAAAATATAAACAACCCGTATGATGAAAAGAAATGTGAAAATCTTAATAAATAAAGTTAGAATCAGAAAGAGTAAAACAAAATATCCTGTTTTTGTTAAAATCGACTGCACCTGAACAACCACTCATCTAAGAGTAAACACAATTCATTCAACAGGATTTATTTTGGAATACAAATGTAAAGAATTACACTGAACGGCTTTTAAAAAATCCTGATTTTTGTTGCATATCCTGTCTGGCTAAGCTACACATTCACATATAATGGCCAATACTAACTACTGCATTATATGTGAAAGAGATGGTGTATTTCAAGCCACTCGGAAAAGATACCGTAGTTTTTTCTATACATTATTTTAATATAAAATAGACTTTTCTTCCTAATTAATACTTAGAAATAGACAAAGATTTAATGATCCAAATTACTCAGGAACAAATAAAATACAGATGGGTACGCCTTGGGCATGCTTCAGTGCAGCAACGGGGGCAGGGGGCGGGGGAGAGAACATACCCTAGAATATTCTGCACTGCAGAGGTGCCCAGTGACACACAGAGGCACCAAGAGGAAGTCCATAAGAAAGAAACACAAAGAAATGCAATGGTAACACCGACCATTAATAGAAGCCACCCAAATAGGTAGAAAGTGGTCATATTTTAGAGCATAGTAATTACATTTGAGATGTGCAGCGTCTACTAACCGTTATCTATATTAGATTGCTTAAATGTTCAACACCCCCCCTCCCAAAAAAAGAATTACCAACTCCAAAATCCAAGTAAAGGCAATCATAAAATAAAATCAAAATTATTCTAATTGCCCTTCAGGGATTACATGAAACTCCCTTCTATAACTGTCCACTCCAAACCCAACACTGCACTAAAAAGTGCTGGGCCCAAGATTAGAGTACAGAATGCTTCCTTCATTACAAATGGGTTTACAGTAATCAGAAATGATTTACAGATGCCATCCCCTAACAAGCAGTATAACTGTTACATCATTTGGGCGAATAGTTTTTTTTTTTAAACTTTAGCTAAGTAATCCTTGCTCAGGGATTATTATTTTTAAAGGTTTTGTTTTAATCCTGATTTATTTGCTTCATAACGCTTAGAAATGAAAAAGGTATAGTCCTGTTTTCCTTCTAAGAATGGACTGATTTTATTCTTTTACAAATTCTGGAAGTTTTTCTTCAATAGAAAAGGGGCTTTCTAATATTTTATATCGATTTAATTGTTTGGTTCCATCTTAATATGTCAAAAGGGCAGTGCCCGGGCATCGAAGCCTGACGTAACACTGTTTTTATATGAACTATAACTCCCATCAGCTTCATTTTAACCTAAGCACGACTTACTACCGGTAGTACGGGAGCTTTTTTTTTTTTTTTTGCTCGGGATCCAGGCTGATCGTCGGGCCAGGCATCAGTTTGTTCCAAAGGCGCACAAATCTGCGCCTGGCCTGGGGGGCGTATAGTATGGTTGGCTGGTTGACAGCAAGGATGCCCTTTTTGGAAAAGCTCAAGGCCATCCGCAGATTCTTAAAACCAGCTTAGGAAAAGGCCAAAGGCCAAGCCGGGCCCCGCTTCAAGCGGGATCATTGTCCACCCACAGCTCGGCCAAGAAGAGAATCCAGGCCCGAGTCGGCTGATCTGATCGAGAAGGGGGATCTGGGGTGAAGGAGGAGGAGGAGCCGTCGGGGAAACGCGGCCGCCCGCTTTATCCGCACTGCGGGTCGGGGAGAGGAGGCGGCACCGGCCTCAGGCCTGAGCCAGACGCGTTTGGCGGGAGACGTGGGCGAAAAAAAAAGCGGTGGGGGTGGGTGGGAACCAGCTGGAAATGATTCAGGCTCCCTCCCGCCGCAGCAGCGCTTTGCAGAGACTTCGAGGTTTGCAAGCAAGGAGGCCAAAGTCGCTCGTGAACCTGGGCGGCTCTCTCGCTCTCTCTTATCCTTTGCCCACCTCTGCCTCGCCATTCCCACGGCCCTCGGGTCGGAACGAGAGGCAGCCCCAGGCTTTTCTAACCTGCCACCAGCAACTACCTCGTCTTATCCTTCTCTCCCCACCTCACCTCCCTCCGCCCTCAGGCCTGGCTTCGGCCGCGCCGCACTTACGGTTCACGGCGCCTTTGAAGTAGGTGCTCTCGCTGCTGTCGTAAACGAACTGGACTTTGCTCATTTTCCACCAGGCCTCGGGGTCAGAACTTTTGTTACGCGTCTCCTGTCGAGAAGGGTTAAGAAAAGACCCAAAGTCGAGGCAGGGCAAAGGAAGCCTCGCCGCCCGCCCGCCCGCCCGCCCGGCCTGGCCAAGCGAACATTTATTTTCCCGCGCTCGCAGCTTTCTGTGTGGCTCGGCCGGCCGCCCTCCCGGGAGATTCCTCGGGGCAGAAGGAAGGAGGAGGTTGACTTGATCCGTCGGCTGCCTTCTTCGGCGCCTTTAGCGACGGCGTACGGTCGAAATAATAATAATAATAATAATAATAATAATAATAATAATAATAATAATAATAATAATATCGGGCTAGCGTCAGGGCGTCTCTTCATTTTATTTCTCTCTCTCCCACTGCCAATTTTTTTCCTCCCCCCCCTCGGGTTGATTCTTGATTCCTTCAGTTTTGGTTTTTCTCGGGTCCTGCAGGTGATTGTGCCTCCCCCACCCCGCACCCCCATCCACTTCCCCGGGATTTCCCACCCTCAACCCCACTCCCAGCCGGGGCTCTGCTTCGAGGCGGACCTTTGGCGGTCTCTCCCCCGATACCTTGAGAAAATAAAGGCTGAGGGTGTAAGCTCTGTTGAGCCACGAAATGTGGAGTTCGGATTCGTTGCTGCTGCATTTGCCTCGCTCCTCGGCTCCGCGGGAAAGCGAGATGTAGGCTTGCTCGGTGATCGTCTGAAGGCACAACACAACACAACACAAGACACGGGCGCATTAGGTCTCGACCCCCCCACACACACACACACACTTCCACAAACAGTATCGGGAAAAAGAAGTGAGGTTTCTTCTCCCCCCTCCATCTCCCGCTGCCCAATATAATAGATAATAAGAATATAAATATGGCTAGCTTCAGCTCCCCACAATGGGTTAGACGGAAACGTAACCTTATTTACTGTACCGCCCGAGATGTAATAATAATTACCCATAATAGACCCAACCTCCCCGCACCTCCGCGCCCCAGGGACTCGAGATGAGTAATTATATATTGTCATTCCCTTTCCCATCCCCCCTCCGATATGAAAAAGAAAAAAAGATTGAAGTAAACTTTGTGCACTTTCCACGATTCAAAAAAAAAGTCTTTTCTGCAGCGAAAGGAGAACAGGAGCGGGGGCAGGACAGACAACTCTTTGCAAACTATATGTACACGGGGGGTGGCGATGCTTTAGCTGCAGTTCCCCCGTGTGAGTGACAGGGAGGGGGAGAAAGCGAAGTTGCATTGCCTTAGCAACATGCCGCTTTTAAAAAGGCTGCGATTATATTTAAGAATAATTCGAATCTTCCCCTCTTCTCTGTCTCTCCCCCTGCGCGCGCGCGCACACACAACACACACACACACACACACACAATCAAGCCTAAGCCACAGATAACCCCCAAATATTGAAAGACATCCTTCTCGCGCTTTAGATAGATGATATTCAAATTAAAAGAAGAATCTCACATCAACAAAATTGCTGGCCCAGATCTCGTAGGGGACGACTAATTTCGCAGCGAATTCCGCCATGAGGCAGGTTGTTCCGTTTTCCCGAACTACAAAAATAGCCTTTTCGGGATTTGGAGATAAGCCCGAAAGATTTTCCACTTCTTGTTCTGCCAGCCCACCAGCTAGTGCATCTGTTGAGAGAAAAAAATAGGGAAAGTGAAGCAAGAGGATTCAGATTTAGGTTGCTGAAAAGGGGGGGTTTCTCTCTACCGGCAGCTTCTGCCTGCTCTGGGCACGAAGTTAAATCAGTTAGAATTTCTCCAGAGAACTCCAGCGATCTACCTTCCCCGGGGCGGTGGGGACTGGAGGAGGGAAGCTATTTAGTCGCATCTATTTTTCTTACACACAGGACACACAAGCGATCTTTTTCTGGCTGTTTTCCTCCCCCATTTCCCCACATCGAGCTGGGGGGGAAAAGGCGAATAGGCGGAACATTTTCGAGATCGGCGGGATGAGAGGCGAGTTCCTGCTAAAGGCGGGAAAGCATGTACTCACGGAAAAGCAAAAGCAGTCCCTGCAGTGGCGGGATGGCTCCCGAGGTTTCGCACCTTCTCCGCTCCATGCTCCCCAAGCCGAGCCCGCAAGGAAGAAGGCAAGAGACGGGAAGCCGCGTGGATGGGCTCCCCTCGCCCGCTCCCGCTGCTGCAGCGTCGCTGCGCGGAGACGAGAATGCGCCTCGGTTACTTTTCCGAGCTCCGAGTAAGTGGTGGGGAGGCGGGGTGTACGTGGCAGGCCGGCGGGAGCTGTCCGAGGTACTGAACTCCACCGTGGTCTTCAAACGTTCCCCAGCTGGTTCCGGGGAGAGAGCTGTCCAGCCTACCGTCCCACAGCTCGTGAGTTGCCGCAACTTCGCTCAACAGAAAGTGGAACTTCAAAAGTCCAATGCCAGAGATGGCTGGTAAAGCACCTGCTTCGGATTCAAACCTCTGCCAGCGTTGTCTTTGCTTCCCTTGCCCATCCACTCCCCCAGATCATTGTCTTCGCCAGGCAGCTCCAATTGTCTTGAAGAAATCCAACTACGCATTCCTTCTCCCTCCATTCTTCTTCCAGAGGACGCCTCTTTTATTAACTTCACAAGATTGCAAAGTTCAAAATACTCTTTCCTGATCCTGTTTAAGATAGTGGCTCTCTTCCTACACACACACACACACACACACACACACACACACACACACACACAAAGCCTGTTAAAATGCTGCTTGCAGTAGTTCTTTAGCCAGATTTGGAGGCTGTGCACCTTAAACATAACCTTATAACGTGCTTATGAAATTCTCCAGTAATGCAGAAAATTTATATTAGTGAGACAGGAAAAAACTGAAAGATCAGCAAAGATGCACACAAAGGGAAATAATGTGTAGAGGGAGAAAAGATACTCACTGATCTGAAACCAAATGGGATATGGTGTCCTTCCAAATCTCTCTCTCTTTCTTATACACACTACTTAGCCAGATAGATATACTTAGCTTAGAGAGAAATAAAGGAAGTAAACTCAGAAGACAGTGCAAGTGATCGATTTAAATGGAGACTGTAGTCTTTAAACATTGCTCCAAAGATATAACATAATGTTTTGGGATCTGTTCATTCATTCTCTTAAAGTGTCAGATTGGCTCAGATTGGAATTTACCTGCAGTATATGAGTATGAGCTCAATAAGGCTTATTGCCAGAAGACTGCATATATGCTTGCAGCGATGATGCATTTCTGATCTATTATAAAAAGAACACGCATAAACATAGCTACCTCATGACTGGGGTTTAAACTAGAACCCAGCAAACCCAGATCCAACTTTCCAATTGACTATGCTGCTCACTGGGTCTTTGAACCAGTTACAGTCTCACAATCTTTCTTACAGTATTGTTGCAGAGTACTGTGAAGGATGATGTAATGCAAATCACCTTAGCAGAAAGACAATTATAAATATGATTAACACAATAAAATCATCACCAGGCCAGCCTTTGCATTTATAGGAGTTGCTGCACTAGTATGATCACTGCTTTTGAGAATTGCCTCCATTGATTTTTCTGATGGAAGCTAATGTGATTGTGGAAGCAAACCAGCACAGAGGGAAGCAGAGTAAGCCATGATAGATAGCTTTGCTCAGTAGTGTGGCTCCTCCTTCCCATAATGACCACTTCCTAAATCGACTCATATCCTAGCCTCCTGTGGGTATAAACCTAGGTATTCATGCCCACAGAATCAAAGCATTATTCTAGTGATTACTACTAATAAATATTTTGGCAAACTCAGTATCAAATTTAACTGTTAATATTTTTCAATTCTCTTAAATTTGCAATATATCCACTCGCCAAAAGCATATATATTAGAGGTATATAATTTGATCTCCAAATAATTTTTTCCACTCCAAGTAGAGCACTTCCTTGAATTTTAAAAAGGCACATAGCATTTGAAAAGTAGTTCTCTAAAGCTGCACTTCTATGCGTATCTGCCTAGGGAGCATCCCAATTAACCAAATATACAGTACATAGGTAAGTAGTAATGCTGTATTTCCACCTGGAAGGAAATGCCATTGAACTCAGTGGAATTCATTTTTATAGATAGGATTGCGCTGGGAAATACAAAATGTTATATTTAATTTTGGAGTGTAATAAATTGTTCTTTGTTTGTGCATTCACCACTGGTAGAAAGCCATTGCTGTAAAGCCTAAAATTATATCAGGGCATCAAATCAAGCACTTCATAAATATCACATTTAGCATGGAGTGAAAATCCAAAGTAAGATTAAAGTCTTTTAAAAATAAGATTATATTTTGTAAAAAAAAAAAAAGAAAAAAAATAGAAACCAAACCCAGATTTCCCTCTACCCACCCCCATGTTTCACCACTGAGTGTTTTTGCGGCAGACATTAGGAAGCTAAAATCTGCTGCAGCCAGAGATGCAGGAAAACAATCCAGTTCAATTAATTTTGAAGTTCATTGATCCTAAATATATAATGGGTTAGAATTAGTTAGTGTCACAATAAATGAGAAAGACTAATAATCAGTTAATTATCCTGGGGATATAATCATCACCTTATGATACTTTGTATCCAAGAACATAATCCCCCTGTTCTGAATGCAGGTATTCTAAATGATTTTTTTTTAAAGGAGTTATCTGATATGGTACACATATCTAGAATAGATGCTTTTTCTTTATTTCCATTTTTCCATGCCTTAAATCTTGGAACAGACATTCTTCCCCCTAATAGTTATATTTGAAAGATTTCCCAGAATTTAAAATGAATAATTTAACAGAAATGCATCAAAAATGTTTGCAAAGATATATACTAGCATATTTAATATGCTCTTTAAAAAGTCTTATAAAAACATTGACACATGGTTGAACTATAGCAAGTTCAATTTTCAAGAGCAAAGACTGAAGTGTCCAATATCCTAATTTTAAGAGTTATTTGACCATCTATATTTCATATTTTTATAAGATCAAATTACAGTTAGCAATTATCATTTTGTGTATATTGCATGCCTATGCATCTTTTCTGAAAGACGTTGGCAGGTTATTGTTAGTAGTAAAGTATTTGAAAGGCCACATTAATCCATACGATATGGTGAAATACTGCAGTAGACTGTTTTTTAAAAATTATGTCACATAGTAATTTTGTTTTGGAACTTTTATTGATCCTGTAGATATTTCTTAAATCCATCTATGATTAAAATCAACAAGGCAGGTAACATAGGAATGTTTTCATGACTGCAAAGAGATTGATACGTTAATGTCCAAAGGCTTTGCTACTCTTTCTGTATTTGAATGAGCATTCTGACTCCGTGAATTCCATTTGGGAGACTGCTTAAACATCTGGATTGCACAGTTCTGTAAAAGACATGGAACTAAATCTAGGGTTGGATTTTGCTTAAAATGTGATTTCCAACTTTGTTGGTAAGTTCTCTAGAAATAAATAGCTTTAACAATTTAAAGGAAAAAAAAATACAAAGGAAAACTTATTAAGCAACCAGAAATTTTCTTAAGACTATTGTCACTTTTTGTTATATTTGTATATATTACTGCTGACTGGTCAATGGCTGTAAACAAATGCTACCATTGTTCCTATTTGAAACTGTGGTGGCCAAATCAAGGCCTCTTCATTATTAAAGTCAGGATGCTTTGAAAAAGAGAACTGGACAGAGATGTTCCAAGCTGTGCCAATTTGTACTGCAAATGGGACAGAAGGAAATTAACCATGAAGAAGCACATCTGAGCACCAGTACTTTCATACCCAATTGTTGTGAATGACAACCATTATTATATCATAACCCTTTAGTGATTTCAGTCCCTTGTTGGAATTTGGTGACTCTGCCAATTCCTTTCTTTGAAGGGAAGAAAGGAATGACAGAGGGAATAGAACAAGCAAAGCAGCCGTATTTTCTTCAAAAAATTAAAATTTAAAATTCTGTTCACTAATGAGTATTCAGATTGCTTTGGACACCCAAGAAATATTGCCATGTTTCTTTTAAACCCAGTGATTGAGTCTTCACGAGATACCTGCTTCTCTCCTCTAATGTAAAGAGGATTTGACCAAAAGAATATTATTTCAGATGGTGCAATGGGTGCCATAGTCCAACCTCAACCACAATAATACACCTATCTCAAATCTCTCTGTGGAGCAAATCTACATGGAAAGTGATAAGTTAAAGAAGAATGACAGAAGGCTTCCTGCTTTTCTCATATCAAAACATATTATGATTGAAAAACCAACAGTTTAAAATACCTCTGGATTGATACTACTGTTCTAAACCCCTTAGAATTCCTTATTTTGATATGAACAATTTTCATATGATATGATATGGAGTTGATATTTGCATCATAACACTTGTGATAAGAACAGGTTAATTTCTTCCCATTTTCATTTTCTTTAGTGCACTTCTAGTTTGTTTTCAAGGGAAGGAATTTTTTTAATATTAATGGTGGATTAGTTAAGAAAGTAAAGTAACTAAAATCTGGATCTATTCACAAAAATCTATACTTTTAACCAAAACCAAACTAAATTTAAGATATTGCAATTCATATTTGCAGAAAACATAAAGAAATCTTCCTTTAGCATCCTGTGTCATTTGCAAGCAGATTCTGAATATAAATGTTCTCACACCCTGTATAAAATGTAATGTCATCAGAGGAAAAATACAGGCCATTAAAATAAAGCATTTTTATAGCTACATTTGGTGCAGGAAACCAAATGTAGCTATAAATGTCAAACATTTACAGATCAGCACACATTTTAAGCAATGCAATTGCTTAATGTGTTGGTTAATGTATGTAAAGAATTCTTTGTTTTTACTCAGATGAAAAGAAGAAATGGAGGAAGAGGAAGAAGAAGCTGCCGCTTTAATAAACTTCCTGTATTTTCTTCATACTGTAGTTTACTAAAATGGCATCCTTTACACATAAGAGCTTTTATAAATTCACCAACTCTCTTTCTCTCTCTCTCTCTCTCTTTCCCTCTCTCTGTAAGTGTGTGTGTGTGTGGTGTGTGTGTGTGCTATGGGGAAGTGTAGAGTGGAGCAATGTATATATATAGTTCCTTTTCCATAGTGTCTATTATTTTAGCTGATCTGTTTGCTAAGTCCCACCATTCAAAGTCATTTATTATGCAATGTGCTATTTGTGAACATATATTTGTGAGCCAGGCTTTCTCAACCAGTGTCTGCAGCTCCAAATGGGAAAAGGATTCTGGCTAAACGATTACAGATTAGCCTTGGATAATTATTTTTATCATCTGCAAAAGGCAAGACCAACTTTATTTCAAACTGCTAATCAAATTCATGCCTAGATTCCTCATCAACTTTTCATTGCTCATTGTCAACTACGTACCTCTGCACTGGGGAACATTCTATCTCAGCTCTGCTCTTTCAGTAGACAGCTTGGAAGAATTTTTCTCTAATAAAAGTGGCAAATGTTGTTTATTCTTGATTATTCTTCCATTCTCTTTTGTGTTTCTCCCTCTACTTGTCTCAAGTAGTGTCTCAATTTCATCTACCCACAGCCTTTTGACTAACGGTCAATTGACTTGGCATCATTGATTGATTTTTACAAATGAGAGATTTATTTGTACCACATATAAAGATCTTATTATTT